GGCGAACGAGAAGGCAAAGGTGAAGGAGGAAGAGAAGAAGGAGGAGAAGGAGAAGGAGAAGGTGAAGGAGGAGAAGGAGAAGGAGAAGGTGAAGGAGGAGAAGGAGAAGGAGAAGGAGAAGGAGAAGGAGATGGAGAAGAAGAAGGAGAACGAGAAGGAGAAGGAGCAGGAGAAGGAGAAGGAGAAGGGGAAGGAGAAGGGGAAGGAGAAGGAAGGACTCTAATACTCAACTGCGTATGGTTTGGATTGGACACTCATTTGAGCGTTGCGTGAATCCATTTGTGGAAGTGAGGGGTGAGGAGCGGAAACGATGGTGAATTAAGTTTTTTTCACAATATGTTATGAAGGCGAAGGATAGAGGAGAGTGTATGAAAGATCCACCTCATATATCTTCACCAAATATTGATTAGCATTGAAAGACTTGCTATGAGTAAGGGCTGCTGTGCCTTATATATGATTTTTCTCACCGCTTAGCACCGCTTTGCAAGTGCAACGGTATACATTTCCAGTTTTTGTGTGTGTTGAGCGTAGGGAACTGCCACTCATTAGAAGCAGACAGTAGCGTCAATACGCCAAGAGCTGACACGGATTTTTTGTCGGTGTTACACGCAAGTGTGTGTGTGTGTGTGTGTGTGTGTGTGTGTGTGTGTGTGTGTGTGTGTGTGTGTGTGTGTGTGTGTGTGTGTGTGTGTGTGTGTGTGTGTGTGTGTATATGTGTGTGTGTGTGTGTGTGTGTGTGTGTGTGTGTGTGTGTGTGTGTGTGTGTGTGTGTGTGTGTGTGTGTGTGTGTGTGTGTGTGTGTGTGTGTGTGTGTGTGTGTGTGTGTGTGTGTGTGTGTGTGTGTGTGTGTGTGTGTGTGTGTGTGTGTGTGTGTGTGTGTGTGTGTGTGTGTGTGTGTGTGTGTATGTGTGTGTGTGTGTGTGTGTGTGTGTGTGTGTGTGTGTGTGTGTGTGTGTGTGTGTGTGTGTGTGTGTGTGTGTGTGTGTGTGTGTGTGTGTGTGTGTGTGTGTGTGTGTGTGTGTGTGTGTGTGTGTGTGTGTGTGTGTGTGTGTGTGTGTGTGTGTGTGTGTGTGTGTGTGTGTGTGTGTGTGTGTGTGTGTGTGTGTGTGTGTGTGTGTGTGTGTGTGTGTGTGTGTGTGTGTATGTGTGTGTGTGTCTATGTGTCTGTGTGTGTGTGTGTCTCTGTGTGTACATTCTAATCGTAGGGGCACACAAGCTAGTTGCTGAAGGGAGCCACGTGTGCCCAAAAGGAATGAATTTTGGACACATCTGGGTTTCCAAATACCAACTGCCCTGCGTTTTTCAGTTTTGGACAACTCTGGTTTGTGCACCCTTCTGAAATCGCCAGACGCAACTAGACACACCTCGCTGTTTTGTTTATACTGACCTACTTTGCATCGATAGAGAACGATAGACAGCGCAAGCCTTCTGGGCTTTGATTTTTAGCCTTCGCTTGGCTCTAAAATGTGTATGGTTAAGCACGAAAACCTTTTGAGGTTCATGCCAACCGCAACTTTTAGACTACCAATCTTGTTCCCGCCAAGGTTCCTGTAATTTTCCAGTTCGCTCGAGTACAGTAGGAGACAACACACACCAGCAGTCTGGTGACGTACAGTAAGCAGGTCGGTGGCATTGTGCGTCACCAAGTACACCACGCTATCAATGCGTTGGCCCGGTCGTTCCCTGATTGGCAGGCACATGGCAAATGTGACGAATACAGCATAGAAATCGTTGGAGCGCACAATAACGTTTGTCTGTGTGGTGGCTTGAAGAGAGCCACGTGTGCATCAGTTGAATAAATTTCTTTTCACCCTTCAGCACTTTCGAGTTTCCAGATTCAGAACTACCCTGTAGTTGTGAAACCACAGGTCTGCGCACCTTTTCTCAAACGCCTGACGCATCCAACAGGAGTTTTGTTTTAACTGACGCACTCTTCTTTGACAGAAAGCGCAAGCAGCTAAAATCTGACGTTAGCCATTGCAACCCTTAGCGTGTGTGGTTACACACAATGATTTTTTTTTTTAACATTCACTCCAGCCAAGTTTCACGCCAAACCTTCCCTGCCAAAAATTCCATGACCACCTACATGGCAGGTAACAGAAACGACAAGCAGCATTCGCTGTCAGGTTGTATGTGAATCAGCAGTTCATTCGACTCGACATTCAACCGGCAGAATGATTCAGCGGTTCAGAATCATCGATATCTAACGGCTCAGATTTGGTCTCGGATTTATATTAGCAGGAAACCGTTTAGCAGATCGATTTTTGAATCGCCACCTCAGCAGCCATATCAATTTCGTACGCTCTAGATTTCAACTGTCTTCGTCAACCGACTTTCTCCAAACGCAATAATGTACACTGTGGTTTTCTGGTTGGGGACTTGACGTGGCGGACAACAGTAGCCAAATTCCCCTCGTGACCTCGTCTCCTCATCACTCCGAAATTCTGTGGTGGGGTGAGTGATTGCCTCCCTGACCTGCAAGTTCACGCCAGTTTCGAAACCGCCGTAACCTGATTTGCGTTTCAGGCGAACGTCGCAACTGTCAAATCAGGTTTAAGCGAATCCAGTTACCATCTGGGGTCGCGCAACTTTTGCCGCAACCGCAACCCCGGTTCTCACGCCCTGAGCTGCAAAACCACAGTAGCAACAGCCATCCCTGCAGCGCAGAATCACGAACCTCCACCCCCATCCCACCAGTTTGTCGCTGCCACCCTAGACCTAGCTAAAGCAGGGCGAAGTAGTACTTACTACAAGTTCCTCGGATTGCCTCGTCGTCAGGGTACCAGACGCATCGCCTAGCCTAGGAGTGCTTGTGGTTGCTGCGTTTGAAGCCCTAAATAGAGATAAGAGGAAGTTGCGGGACTATTTACCGATATTTGAAGACATCGCCAACTAGTATTACTGCGATAGTAGGTCCCGTCACGTCAATCCGATGATTTCCGATCATCGGATTTCCGTCGCTTGATTTTCATGCTGCTTCCGTGACGCGCAAATATCGCTACCATTCGCCGAAGCAGAAGCAATGGGTTGTCTCGTGATGGGACAAGTACTCGTTGTTCCGCGGCGCCGTGTTGCCGCGCATTACTAATGCCTACCTGCGGCGCGCAGGTCCGATTTAGGGTTTGCTACTACGTTGCGTCAGTGCTCGACGCGTTTCTCCGGCACTGGGTCGGTTTTGGCGACCCCAGACGGCTTTTGTAAGCCCAGCGAACGTAGAGCAGCGAAGAACGAGGCGTCAGCAGCGCAGCGCGCGGGCTCGCGTTCCTAGTACTATCCCCCCCACCCCGATCACCCTTTTCCCCGTCCCAATCTCCCCCGCCGCCCCTCATTTCCAACTTCTCATTCCGCCCCCACCAAATCCGCCTCTTTCGTTTGGTATGCCCGCCTGATTCCGGCGCCCCTTCATTCCGTTACCTTGCTCTGCCATCCCCTTTCTCTTTACACACCCCCAGGCATTGGCGCCGCCCCGTCTCGCGCCTCCGTGGCGTTGCAGTGGCGCGATGGCGCAGGGCAGGCAGGCACGGCACGGAACGGCACGACGCTGGGCAGGCAGGCGGCACGGCATGGCATGGCACGGCACGGCACGGCACACGGCACGGCATGCGGACAGCAAGATGCGGATTGCGGATGTCCAGCACGCGCGGCGTACGGGATGGCGATGGTGGCAGCGGAGGGCGCCCCGGCATCATGCCGAGTGCGCATCAGATGCCATCGCGCAGCGGCATGTGCCATCACGGCCTGCAAGCAACCGTTGAGATGACGCGGCTGCGTGGAAGTGGGCAGACGCGCAGATGAGTGGGGCGACTCGGAATTACGAAAACGTCAGAAGGTAACAGCAGCGGCGACAAACAGCAGCGGCGACAGCAGGTGCGGCAATCAGCACTCATAACAAGAGTAGAGCAGAACCAGCAGCATGAGAGGCAACAAGCAGCAGCAGCGTGGGTGGCAGCAGAAGATGAGGAAGGAAGGAGGGGGGCTGGGGCGAGGAGGACAAGAGCAGCAGAAGCAACAACAACAGGTGTGTGGTGCTTCTCTTTCAAACCTAAGAACCGAGAAGAAACGAGGAGAGCATGGTCGTGAGATGATGATTGTGTGAGCTGAATGCACACTGGCTGTGCTCCATGCGTAGGCATGGGCGTGGGATTGTGTGTGCGCATGTGCATACGCCTGCCAAGGTCGCTGCAACATGTTCTCATCCCACTGCTATCATTGCTGCCCCCATGCCTCCCACCCCGCCCCAAATCTCCCTGCCTGCCCCAAATCTCCCTGCCTGCCCTAAATCTCCCTGCCTGCCCTAAATCTCCCTGCGTGCCCCAAATCTCCCTCCCTGCCCCAAATCTCCCTGCCTGCCCCCAATCTCCCTGACCGTCCCACACCTCCCTGCTCGTCCCACCCATACATCCCTGCCTTCTCATACCTCCGTTCCTGCCTCATACCTCCCTGCCTGCCCCATACCTCTCCCTGCCTGCCCCATACCTCTCCCTGCCTGCCCCATACCTCTCCCTGCCTGCCCCATACCTCTCCCTGCCTGCCCCATACCTCTCCCTGCCTGCCCCATACCTCTCCCTGCCTGCCCCATACCTCTCCCTGCCTGCCCCATACCTCTCCCTGCCTGCCCCATACCTCTCCCTGCCTGCCCCATACCTCTCGCTGCCTGCCCCATACCTCTCGCTGCCTGCCCCATACCTCTCCCTGCCTGCCCCATACCTCTCCCTGCCTGCCCCATACCTCTCCCTGCCTGCCCCATACCTCTCCCTGCCTGCCCCATACCTCTCCCTGCCTGCCCCATACCTCTCCCTGCCTGCCCCATACCTCTCCCTGCCTGCCCCATACTTCCAAGTGGTTGCTTAGCCGCTCTGCTGGTTGTGTGTGCTCTGCTGCATTCCCCCATTGCCCCCTCGTGATTTGCTGTTTTGGTCTCCTGTGCCAGCCCGTTCAACTGCCTCCTTTCCTTTCCTGGCCTCTCTTACCTCCTCTTGACCAGGGGTAATGTCCCCTCCCTAGTGCAGCTCCCAGGCATACCAACAATCACTGCTCCACCCATCCGCCTCCGTCTCCTCCTCCTCCTCCTCCTCCTCCTCCTCCTCCTCCTCCTCCTCCTCCTCCTCCTCCTCCTCCTCCTCCTCCTCCTCCTCCTCCTCCTCCACCTCCTTCTTCTTCTCCTCCTCCTCCTCCTCCTCTTCGCCTCCACCCGTCGGACCCCATGCCATTGCCACGCATCATGTCGAGCCACACTCCTCCGCTCGCTCGCATGCTGCTGCCACCGCTGTGGCGGCACCATCGCTGGCAGCGGCAGTGCCGTGCCGCAGGCCGCTCCGCCCGTGCGTGGCGCCAGCGTCGCGCTGAACCTGCCCACCCGCAGCCTGTCGCTCGGAGGCGGCAAGTACACGCTGGCTTTAAGTGGCGATCTTGCGAGGTTTACGAGCAATGGCAGCGAGTGCCAAGAAGGGGTTCCGCATGCGGGCAATGACGGTGCTGCTGAGCGGAGAGATTGTGGATGATGCGGGGGCGAAGATGACGCCCACGGGTCTTGATGTGGACGGGGCGTACACTGCAGGGGACCTGAGAGGGTGGCCCAACGGGACCGTTGTTGGCAGCAATGGTGTGGTGCTGTATGCTGGAGCGCCACTCACTCTTACGTCTGAGGGCACCATTGCTCTTGCTACTCCTTCCATTCCCACTGCTGCTGCCGCTGCTACCCCTGCTGCTGCTACCCCTGCTGCTGCCACCCCTGCTGCTACCACTCCTGCTGCTGCCACCCCTGCCACTGCTACTCCTGCTGGTGCCTCTGCCCCACCCCCTCCCAAGGCTGCTGGTGAGTGTGTCTCCTACACTTCTCGTAAGCTTCTCCTATGCTTCTCCTATGCTTCTCCTATGCTTCTCCTATGCTTCTCCTATGCTTCTCCTATGCTTCCTGTTTGCCTTCCTGTTTGCCCTCCTGTTTGGTACATCGCTTTGTGATTCCGCTGCACATTTCCACATTCCTTGATTCCCAAATCTCAAGTGGGCTGTTCCAACCTGATTCTGTTTCCCCAGTTGTTCCTCCTCGCAATGGCAGGTTCACTTTCTTCACCGGCCGCTGCTCTCACTGCTCTCATCACTCTCGCCCTCGCCCCACTCATGCTCATGTAGCAACGCGGCTCTATGTAAGGCCAGGCGTGGGCACAAGGGGGCTGTGGTAATGGTTTAGTGTTACCGTGGAGTGGAGGCATGCGGTGTTCATGTGGTGGTGGGGGTGGAGGGGGTGGTGCTGCTTGTTCTTGTTGGATTGCCTTGCCTGTGCATGTCTCTGGATGGATTGGTTGGTTGGCGAAAGGAAGTACCGTAATTGAACCAGCCTTGAAGTAACGGCTATGCTGTGGTATAAGTACCAGTAATAAAACTTGTGATTCGCAACCTTGCAGTAACGGCTTGTACTGGTACCAACATTGCTTCAAGCATTCAGCAAAATGCCTGTTTGGCCTGGTCAACTAGAAAGAACATACCGTACGGTCAAGGAGATTGCCCTCAATGTGCAATCTCCATGACCAAACGAGCCAATCAATCTCTTTGACTGGATTACCCTAGAAGGCCCTCAAAGTGAACAATCAAGATTATCACGGTACATGAACCATGCCTTCCATTCCACACATTAAAGAATCTTCAAGTCAGTCCACCCAACCAAAGCCAACAATAAATATGCCGGGTCAAAGCTACAGCAACAAGAGCCTCCTTCATCACATGAACCACCTCCCCGCGGCGTATTTCGATTGGTTGTTGGTGGCCGTCTTATCCAGAAAGGGTCCGACGAACCAATGGCGTGCGTCGACAAACCACCAGACGAGGAAGAAGGAAACTACCACGAAGATTCCGACACACGCGTAGTTGAAGTTGCTTGCGGTGATGGGGAAGACCATTGGTAGCATGAAGATGCTGACTGTTTCAAGGACAAAGAGAATGGCTCCAATGTTGATCAGTTTCCTGCACTCCAATAGGCAGAGGGTGAGTGAGAGATAGAGAGAGGAGGGGAGGGGTGGAGGTGAATGAGTAGTGCCTTCTGCAAGGGTTAGAGAAGAGGAGAGAGACCATGGTTTAGGGAGGAGGGGTGAATGAGCAGCGCCGTCTGCAAGGGTTAGAGAAAAAGACAGAGATCAACTCTTATGCCCCATGCACACACTCGTACCAGGCTCGCACAGACCGAGGCAGAGCATTGCAGCAAGGCAAGGCAAGTCTTGAAAGGTCTCAAGAAACCCACATGAGGTATACATACGAGTTTCGAGACATGTCAAAAGATGTTCGCACCAGGAGCAAACCGACTGAGAGAGTGAGCACTGCTGCACCAAACCAAGCCATGCCATGCCATGCTGTGCTTTCTAACTCACCTGCCCCACGCACCCTCTCCCGCCCTCACCTGCCCCAGACGCCGACGTATTTAGAGAGGTAGAACGGGCCCGGTTCAAAGTCCTCCTCCCTTTGAATGAGCCGAAAGAAGATGGGGACAGCATAGCCGCCCACCCAGGCGACGGTGGCGAGGGAGGTGATGGCGGAGAAGAGGAAAGAGTCCTTGAGGAGCGGCAGGGAGAAGAGGATGGCGACGCCACAGCAGAGCCACACGGAGTAGATGGGCGTCTTGTCTCGGTTCACCCGCCGCCAGATGAACGCGAATGGCAGGCCCTTGTCTCGCGATATGGCGTAGGCCTGGGGGGATGGGGTGGGCGGGGGAGGGGTGCAGGGGGTGCAGGGCGGAGCGGAGGGGGGGAGGGGATGAATAGAAGGTGGGGAAAAGGAGGGAATGTGTAAAGGGGAGTAGCCAGGGGATTAGTGAGGAGGAAGAGGGCAGAGTCCTCGAGGAGGGGCAGGGAGAAGAGGATGGGTGAAAAGGATGAAGGAGCAAGCACAGGCAGGGGCGGGTGAGCAAGCACAGGCAGGGGCGGGTGAGCAAAGCAAACACATGGACGGATGGGAGTGACTGACTGACCGCTCCGAGGGCTCCAAGCCAAGAAGGCCTCCTTGCTGAATTCAGATTTGAGAATTCTCAAAAGCAACTCGGGCTGTGCGTGCAAGCAGAGGGCGGAGGGAACAGTGACTGACCGCGCGGGAGGCGCCAAGAATGCCGGCGAAGACGCCAAAGAGGAAGGCGATGTAGATGAGTGAGAGCACCACCACCGCCCCTGTGCCGCTGCCGAAGCTGTTGCAGGAGACAGGCATAAAAGGGGACAGCAACACACGGTAGCACGAGGGGGGGTGCATGGGAGGATGGAAGAGGAAGGCGATGTAGATGAGCGAGAGCACCACCACCGCCCCTGTGCCGCTGCCAAACCTGTGGGGGGAGGAAGAGGAGGGCAATGCAGATGCGTGAGAGCACTGCCACTGCCCAGCTGGTGGGGAACATAACCCCTGCACAGCTGTCAAAAGTGTGGTGGGAAAGGGGTTAGGGTGATAAGGGGAAAGAGAGGTGAACATGGGGGTTTGGAAGAGGAAAGCGACGTGGATGAGCGAAAGCACGACTTTTGAGGCGCCTCAAAAGACGATGAGAGTGGATGAGCAAAAGCACGACCACCACCACCCCTGTGTCGTTGCCAAGACTGTGCGGGGAGGGGGGGGAGGATGGGGTGGGCGTGGTTGAGGTGAGAATGAGGAGGATATGAGTGAATACAGGAAAGGTGGGATATGACAACACATAGGGGGAAGGGGGAAGGGGGAAGCCATATACCAAGCCAATCACTAAGCAACTCCCGAACCTCTTATGGAGGCAGTTCTTGAGACACCCACCACGCCGCGAAGGCCTCCCGTATGATGGTAGCCAGGATCTGCTGCCAGCCCGTCATGCTGTCCCTGCTGGTGAGATTGCCACCGCTCTAAACACCCAAGTACCCTTGGTGAAGCCCACGGCAGGTTGCTTGCACGCCAGCAGCAGCCGAACCACTTCCCCAGCCACTTACCGAGCCACAAAGGCCTCCCAGATGGTAGTCAGTAACCGACTGATGAGCTGATCTGATCTGCTGCCCGCCCGTAACGCTATCCGTACTGGTGGGATTCTCTTCGTCCTGAATGCTAAAAGTGAAGGCCACGAGCAGCCCCCGGGCGAGCCACTTACCGAGGCACCTACCGAGCTGCCCACCGAACCACGTACCGAGCGAAAAAGGCCTCCCAGATGATGGTAACCAGGATCTGATTGCCGGCCGTAACGCTGTCCGGGCTGGTGAGGTTGTCGTCGTTCTGAATGCAGAAGGTGAAGGCGACGAGCAGCCCCCACGCGAGCAGGCTGACCGCGGACAGGCAGAGCACCATGCTGGCTGGGGACGCGCGATCGGAGCGCTTGGTCTCCTCTGCCATGTGGGCCACTGTGTCGTATGCGTAGAGGGAGTACTGCGATAGCTGCATCGCTGCTATGAAGGCGTACGCCTGTAAGAGAAGAATAGGGTGCGGTGAAGAGAGGTGAAGAGAGGTGGGTCTCAGGTGGAGAGCGCTTGGTCTCCTCTGCCATGTGGGCCACTGTGTTGTATGCGTAGAGGGAGTACTCGGATAGCTGCATCGCTGCTATGAAGGCGTACGCCTGGGCAGGGTCCAGAGGGGAAGGGAGGGAAGGTGAGAGAGGGAATAGATGAAGTTGCATGTGGGTGGTGGCGGGTGCGTGTCTCTGCCATGCTGGCTGGCAGAGAACGTGTGGTTAGAGCTCTTGATTTCTTCTGCTATGTGGGCGGCGGTGTCGTATGCGTAGAGGGAGTACTGGGACTGCTGCATGGCTGCTATGAAGGCGTAGGCCCGGGGGGGGGATTGGAAGGGGGATGTGCAGCAATGGGTATCAAAGTGAGAGGAGGGGCACGCAGGTGAGAGGCGTTTTTGAGGCGCCTCGAAACTTGCCTGGGAGGTGGGGATGGGGAGGGAGGCACGGATTGGCATCACAAGTCAGAGGAGGGGCACGCACTTGTGTGACACTTTGAGCAACATCAGTCCAGGGCCTGTCATGCTGGGTTTAGACGAAGAGATTCAGTGGTGCAGAGTGGTGCAAAGCGTGCGGCAATGACACATCCAGCTGCAACTTGTAGTGAGTAGAGAAGAAAGCTGGCGCATAGCGCACGCACACAGGCCATAGATTGAGCGGTGCAGAATAGTGCAGAGAGGTGTAGAGTGTTGTAGGGTGGTGCAGTGGTGGCGCAGTGGCAGTGCACTGGCATTGCAGTGCGGTACTCACCACAGTGGCCAGCAAAGACACGTCCGGCTGCACGTGTTCTGGGTGAAGACCAAGGCTGGCGCCTGGCGCACATAGGTCATTTATTCAACGGTGCAGAGCGGTGTACAGTGGTGCAGAGTGGTGGAGATGGGTACTCACCATAGTGGGCAGCAGAGATACGTCCAGCTGCACGTGGTGGTGAGTGAAGACAAAGGAGGCACTCTGGTGCACTGGCGCTACCGACGGCAGCAGAATCATGATGACTATGGCGAGACCCATCTAGGGACGAAGGGAGTGGTTAAGGGCAGAAGAAAGGGTGGGAACACGGGTAGAGGGAGGTTGGCTTGGCAGCAGCAGGGGAATGGGATGGGATGACTGGCAGTAGCGAGGGGAGCAGAATCATCTGCTCAAAGGGGAAACCCATGTGGAAGGGGAAACCCGTCTGGGGAGTAAGGGGGGGAGAGTAGCATGAGCCCGTGAGGGAAGGGGGATGGAGAATGATGGAAGAGAGGATGGGATGACTGGCGCAGCGCACAGGTGCTAGTGCTACTGCAGTGCAGCAGAATCCTGGAGACTACGGCGATTCCCATTTGGGGAGGGGGAGAGTGGTAAGTGGGAGAGGGGAGGGTGGAAGCAGGGGAATGCGGTGAGCGGCGGTATCAAGGGCAGCAGAAGAATCATGGTGTGGTGACAAAGGCGAGTCCCATCTGGGGGTGGAGCATGGGAGAGAAACATAGAGAGAAACTTATAAGTCTACCTGACCTGACCTGATAAACAGCACTGCTGATTACAGCCACACGACCGATGAACTCGATTGAGAAGGAGTTGAGGATGCCGCAGAGGAGAGCACGTGAGTAGAGGGGGGAGGAGGAAGGAGGGGAGGAGGAGTGGTGCTGCTGAGCGGCTACAGTGAAGGGGATGCTGCTAAAGTGACGGCAACCCACCTGGTAATCAGCAGCGCTCATCACGGCCACACGGCCGATGAACTTAATTGAGGAGTTGAGAGGAGGAGAGGGAAGTGTGAGAGGGGGGCGAGCAGGGGAGTGCGCGCAAGTGGGAAGGGAGGCTGACCTGACAAACAGCGCTCATCACGGCCAGACGGCCGATGAACTTGATGGGGAAGGAGTTGAGTTGAGGAGTCGGAGTGTTTGTGAGCGGGTGGGCGGGCGGGAGGCATGCATAGAGCAGGGGAGGGTTTCGGGGAGCTACTTACAAAGCATTGCTGCCACAGTAGAGACAGGCAGATTACCTGATAGACGGCACTGACGACGGCAAGGCGGCCAATGAACTTGATGGAGAAGGAGTTGAGAATGCCGCAGAGGAGAATGGCGCCCACTGTGATGGCAAATGACTCGTAGTTGTTCAGCAGGTAGCCTCCCCCATTCGCCCCTCCTGGTGATGGGAAGGAGGGGGGGGGAGAGAGTGGAAGGGGAGGAGAAGGAGACGCGTGAGAGGAGAATGGTACCCACTGTGATGGCGCCCACTGTGATGGCAAACGACTGGTAGTTGTTCAGCAGGTAGCCCCCGCCGTTGGTCCCTCCTGGTGATGTGAGAGAGAGAAGAGAATGGAGAGAGCGTGAGGAGAGGGAGGCGGAGAGGGAGAGGGAGAGGGAGAGGGAGAGGGAGAGGGAGAGGGAGAGGGAGAGGGAGAGGAAGAGGGAGAGGGAGAGGGAGAGGGAGAGGGAGAGGGAGAGGGAAAGGGAGAGGGAGAGGGAGAGGGAGAGGGAAAGGGAGAGGGAGAGGGAGAGGGAGAGGGAGAGGGAGAGGGAGAGGGAGAGGGAAAGGGAGAGGGAGAGGGTGAGGGAGAGGGACGGGTGGGGGAGTGGGACGAGGAGGAGGAGCAAGGCAGAGGGGAAGGCGAAGCTGAGAACACTGGCACCAGCTGTGATGGCTGAGGCTGGCTGGCTGTTGGTTAACAAGCAGCCCTGCCATTTGACTGTCCTCTCTTGGCTCCGAGAAAGATAGGTGCAGAAGGATACGGGAGAATCCACTCCACTCCCGAATACTCTCTTGTCTGTCCCTGAGCTACTTTGCTGGGCGATCTTTGAGGAGCCTCAAGACGGACAGAGGAAAATGCTTCATAGTGCTCTCTTGTAACGAGGTGACTTTTGAGTCGACTCAAAACGACTGTAGCGGAGAATGCCTCGTTGTGCTCTCTTGTCTGTCGAGATACCGTGCTCGGCACCTCAATACGCTCACTCATAGTGCTCTCTTGCCAGTCCATATGCATGGAGTAACTGTAGGATAATATATCAAACAATTCATTCCACCCGGCAATCTTCACGGTTCTTCTCAAGATAGGATAGGATGATGTATCGGGATGGGATAGGACAGGATAATGTACACACCATGCATGCATGCAGCCGGATGGGATGGAAGTGCCTGTGGCAGCGAGCACGGTGTACTGTAGCATGATCACCCCGCCGTACGAGAAGCCGCTTGGTTCAAAGCCCCACTGTATGTTGGCCTGGTCCAACCCAAAGCCCCACACAGATGGCAGTACCTGTGGCGACCAGCACGGTGTACTGTAGCATGATCACCCCGCCGTACGAGACGCCGCCCAGCCCCACAGAAAGGCCGAGAAACTCAAGCCAGCCCTGCAGAAGGGGCGGGGGGAAACCGGGGTTGGGATGAGATGATGTGGAGAGAGGGGTTGGGATGAGATGATGTGGAGAGAGGGGTTGGGATGAGATGATGTGGAGAGAGGGGTTGGGATGAGATGATGTGGAGAGAGGGGTTGGGATGAGATGATGTGGAGAGAGGGGTTGGGATGAGATGATGTGGAGAGAGGGGTTTGGATGAGATGATGTGGAGAGAGGGGTTGGGATGAGATGATGTGGAGAGAGGGGTTGGGATGAGATGATGTGGAGAGAGGGGTTTGGATGAGATGATGTGGAGAGAGGGGTTTGGATGGGATGATGTGGAGAGAGGGGTTGGGATGAGATGATGTGGAGAGAGGGGTTTGGATGAGATGATGTGGAGAGAGGGGTTTGGATGAGGCGCGGGGGCAGACGGGCTGGGATGAGATGTGGGTGGGGACGGGTTGAGTTCATGTTTGAGAATTACTAAAACAATAAAAGTAACCAGTACCATCGCACGCCACTCAAACGCAACCCCCATACCAACTGCAACCCCTAAAGCCACTCAATTTGCAACCCTGCACGCCATACAATCAATCCTCAACCCCTCACGCCACACCATCAAGCCTCAACCCCTCATCCCGCTCAAACGTAAACTTTCAACGCCATTCAATTCAAGCAGCAACGGCCGAAGCCGCATATATAGTACTGCTTTTGAGTCGACTCAAAAGCAGCCCCATATATAGTACCGTGATCCACGCAGCAAAGGGGCCGTGCTTCGGCCCGGCCAGTGCTGCCGACCAGAAGTAGAGGGAACCGGCCACCTGAAATAGAGGGACGGGAGGGGTTGAAGGAGAAAGTGAGGGGAAGAGTGACAGAGGACACGAGTGTTCTCTTGCCTCGCCTTGGCAGGGCGTGTTTGGCACGGTTCTGTTCCATTCAGACAATGGCAGGGCGTGTTTGGCACGGTTCTGTTCCATCCAGACAATGGCAGGGCGTGTTTGGCACGGTTCTGTTCCATCCAGACAATGGCAGGGTGTGTTTGGCACGGTTCTGTTCCATCCAGACAATGGCAGGGTGTGTTTGGCACGGTTCTGTTCCATCCAGGCCAACAGAAGAGAGTGCCAGCCACCTGCGATGGAAGGGGGAGAGGTGAGCAGAGCAGAGGTAGAAATTATCTGGGGAAGCGGAACAGCAAGACGTTGAACTAACATCTAGTGAACAGATTGTTGCAATGCAATGCAAGTAGTAAATCTCTTGCTGTCTGGGTGAAGGAATGAAGAAGACGTGAAGGAGAGGAGAAGTGGCGAGGAGAGGCGAGGAGTGGAGGGGAGGGGAGAGGAGACGAGATTAAAGGAAAGGACGGGGGGAGAGAAGAATGGGACGAGATGAGGGCTGTGAGACATACGACGAGAGGAGGGAGGAGGAATCACTCATGAAAGCCGAAGACAGAGAGCCAGTGAATGACATACAGAAACAAGGAGGAGAGGCACTCACGGGGAGTGAAAGAGGAGATTGAGGTGCGTGAAGACAGATACGAAATGGGAGGGAGGGACAATCACTTACAAGCGCAGGAGAAGAGGGAAGAGGAGGGGAAGGAGAGGGGGACTCACGGGGAAGGAGGAGAGGGGGACTCACGGGGAAGGAGGAGAGGGGGACTCACGGGGAAGGAGGAGGAGATTTCGGCCATGGAGAGAGCGATGAGGTGCGTGAAGAAGACGGTGATCCACCAGTACCACACCACCGCCACTGGGCCTCCGTTGATGTACGCCTGACTGTAGCGAGTGGGATTATAACGGGGATAGTTGCAGAGGGGGCAGAGAGGGGACAGGAGGCGAGAGAGCGATGAGGTGCGTGAAGAAGACGGTGATCCACCAGTACCACACCAACGCCACTGGACCCCCGTTGATGTACGCCTGACTGTAACGAGTTACAAGTGTGGTTATAACGGGGATGGTTGATGCACGAACAGACAGGAGACAGGAGGGGGCTGGTGATTAAAGCGAGTCCGAGATGGTGATCCGACAATACCTGGGCCGCCATTGACGAACACGTGACTGTAACGAAACCGGGGGAAACGGGGGGAAAGGAAGAATTGGGCTTTTTTAAGTCGGGAAAAAAATGTCAGGTGGAAGAAGACGGATGAATCTAAGAATGGGCAGGGGGAGTCGGGAATAGAGCGGCGAATAGGGGGTTTAAGGAGGGGGGTTACGGGCATAATGAAGGGGTGGGAGGAAGGGTGGGCATCAAAGGGTGGAGCGGAAGGGGGGGGAGGGGTGGGGAGCGGTGAGACGCCTGAGGATGGACATTTCCTGGTACGGGTATCTGTATCTGTCGAGGGAATCCTCCTCACCCATAGCGCGGCACGATACCCGTGAAAACCTTGATAGTAGACAGGCCGATGGAGATCAGCTCGAAGAGGCACGCACAGTCAGAATGGGCATTTTCTAAGCGGGAATCGTCCTCACCCACAGTAGGGCACGATGCCGGTGAAGACAGTGATGGTCGACAGGCCGTGGAGGAGAGCTCGAAGATCAACAGCCCAGGGGAATGGCAAGTCATGGAAATCTGATCTCACCCATAGTACGGCACAATGCCGGTAAACACAGTGATGGTAGACAGGCCGATGGAGAACAGCTCGAAGAACCCGAGCGCGCGTTTGAGCTCCTGCTTGTACCCCAGCTCGTTCAGAAGCTTCTCGCCCGAGTCTATCTCCACCGTTAACTGCAGCCCGTCTTCCAACATAATCTCCATTGTCTCGCCCGCTCCGTCGCCTCCGCCGCCGGCGCCGTCTCCGCCGGCTTTACCATCCCCCGCCTGGCCGTCTCCCCCGCCGGTTTGCGCTTTTCCCGCCGCGCCGGCCGCCGCGCCGTCCCAGTCCTCCGTCATGACTAGATCGTCGTCGACCACCACCGCGCCGTCTGCTTTGCCGGCAGAACCCCCCTTTCCCGGAACGTCGAGGCTTCCGGCCGAGTCGCCTCGGGTGCGCCATAAGGCGCGCCGCCCTAGAACCATGATGCTGGCTTCGACTGTGAAATTTTGGTGACTGACAGTAACGACCCCGAAATACAGTTACCAGTTGCTAATGAGTCAGTGGAGCACGTCAGACGTTATCGCTCACCCATCGCTTACGTAAAAAACAAAAACGCTTTCACGAAATCGAGAAACATGTGGCGGCACGACGAGTGCTAGAGGATACGCACAACTCCGAAAATAAGGTATTCTGCTGCTATTGAACGACAAACGGTCAAGTCGAGTTGTCGACGAACATACCTAAGAAGCACTGCGGTCTTTTACGAATGGACCCCTGCGGCACGCGATACGCTCTGGAGCTAACCAATGTTGCGATCAAATAAATAAGATTCTCTCTCTGGGTGGTTACCAGCTGATGTTACGCAAAACGACAGAAATAATCTGGAAACGAGTTCTCGCACTCCAAAGATTCTCAAACGCACTGCGGAACAGTGGAGCTAGTAGATTCAATGCGACGCCAAACTACACACCACGCGGGCTTGCTATATTAGTGCGCGCCGTGTGCATCCGTGTGTATGCGAGAGTGTTACACCTCGGCAACGCAATAAGTCTCAAAAACGACTCCAAAATATGCGAGAAACTCGAAAGAGTCTAGAGCTCGACTCGCTCGCAACCGCAATGCCATTGTTGCCTAGTATACTGTCCGTCAGTCCCTTCACCAACTGCAGCTGTTAATTTGAAGGGAGAGTATGTGCTGGCTACCTGGCTATTGAAAACTTTTCACATTTCATCCTGGGCTCGACTCGGACACTCCTACTTTTCGGGAATTCGTTCAAGACGCATCACATATTACGTTCACGACTCATACTGCCAGGCAAAGTTTTTGACACGTGTTCATTGTTTACACGGACAAAAAACTAAAACCCAGTCGGAAAGGGATGCGACTCGGGGAGGCATCAACCCTAAACTTGGAGAGGCATCAGCCCTAAACACCCGTGGGCTCTAGTGTTTAGGGTTGATACCTCCCGAAAATGCGCCCAGATTCTCTAGGGGTTACATTTTCCGGGCTGCCCTGTCAACTCGAGCGGGGAAGCGGGAAAATAATTTGGACACGTGTCAAAAACACTTGCCTGTAGTACCAGCTTTGAACAGAATGTGGGATGTCGCTTGAGAGAAATCCCATTGAGTCGCACTGCTTGAGTGAGCCGTGTGGCTATATATGAAAGAATCTGGAAAACCAAGTAGCCAGCACATACTCTCCCTAATTTTAATGACAGACCAAACGCACACCCTGAACACCTCAGGCTCGAAATAAAAGTGGGTCGCAAGATGGTGTAGATGGAATCTTGGAGTTTGGATGCGTTATTACGTGGTTCAGTTGCTAGCCAGAGAACTAGCTGCTTTGCTGTTTTTTGGTCTCCATCCCTAGAACAGGCACAGCAGCATGGGAACCCACAGGCAGAATGATGGTGGGAGGAGCTGTACGTGTTTTGAACTGAACTTCGGAAAAAGCGGAGGTATCGAGGTTATCTTGCGGTCTGGCACGTTTCTTCACGGTCTACGAAGGTTGGCTAGGGTGCATGGAAAACACTTGACCCATCAGGTCTCGTGTGGTTCAGCTTGTGAGGTGATGTGCACAACCTGAGGACAAAGCAGTCGATTTCTTGAAGAGATATCGATTTTTGACAGCAATCAGGTCATGTCAATGGTACTGTACACCTAACCATCGATAATTTCAAGGGGTGCCCCTGCACTGGTCCCGCGTTTCAAGGCTACCCTGCACGTTTTCTACTATTTCAGCTAGACACGTAGATGACCGGGGCTATGAAAGACGCCTAATTCTCGAACCCCAAAACCCTTCGAGCGAATCTGGGACAAAAACCACTCGTGTGAAGGCTGTTTTCTTGTTGCGAAATCCATAGCGCAAATTATACTCTTTTCGAGGATCTGGAACAGACTCTCCGTAAAATCACGACGCCCCACACAACCCTCGGTCAAAGATTTGAAAAGGGTGCATACCAGCGTGTGCAAGTGGGGTTGAAAATAGACCGATAGAATTTATTGGTGGTTAGGTGTAGCAAAACACATGAAACAACACATTATGAAGCCCAAAAAACACGTCTAAAAATCGAACAGATACATATGCTTGTCTGGTGGGGAGATATTCAAGGTGTACTTGTTTTCTCTTGTACCAAACTTGCGTCGCCTAGTGTGGGGATGGTTGCAGATCAGAGATCACGCCCATCACGCCTAAACCATTGTTCCATCGATCAGGCGTACCACGTGTTCACGCCTGCAGATGACTTCGCGATGCCATATGGCGTTTCCGCCTAAGAGTTCCCTCGTTTTATTACCAGAAGACCATGTTCTTTGGACGGAAGCTAAGTTGCCCTCGTCTGACTGACGCCCATCAAATGCCGGAGCGTGGCGTAGCAGAAACCACGCGGATCGTCACATCTGGACTCCATACCTTCGCTATAATACTCTTCGTTACCGTGACATGCGCACGATGTGACGATCCGTTTAAAACCACCTCCATTTGGCAGCCAAAATCGCCTGAAACTGCCGTTTCGAGAAATCTCCATGAAAGGGCCCCACCTGCGCATGAATGGACTGGATCATGGCGTGAAACCAAAGCTGCATGGCAAGAGGCCAGAAAGGGGAGAAGGCGAGCGACTTTTGAGTCGACTCAAAAGTCACCTGCGCATGAATGGACTGGATCATTGCGTGAAATGAAAGCTGCATGGCAAGAGGCCAGACAGGGGAGGAGGCGAGCGGCGGCGGAAGTAGCGTCCGCGAGCACAGCCGTTGCAAGTTCTGCTCGGCCAGGAACAGATGACGAAGCAGGAGAATATGGCTCGGGAACGACTGGGTCCAGCACAGCAACAACGGGGTCCACGTCAGGAGCATCCGGATCCACGTCGGGACAAGTAGAATCTGGAAAAGAAAGAGAGCGCGGACGGAACACGGAAGGTGGTAACCCGAGGACGACTGCGGTCAGGGAGGAAAGCTCAGCGGTTGGCGGCAGTGACATCGGCAGTGAAAGCGGTAGAGATAGCGCTTCAACTGCCTTTGCTGATTTCACTGATACGTTGTCTGCTATTTCCCCCTCTCGTTCCCCTCTTTCCTCTTCTCCCTCCTCCCCTTCTGTAGTGTCTCTTCTCTCACAGCACGACCAGCACTTGCAGCAGTGGCAGCGGCATTTAGACCGAGCCGTTTTCACTCCGCTCACTGACCCCACGCAACCGCTTGCTGTGCTAAGTAAAACACTTCAAAGTTCTCCGAAAGTTCCGCTGCTGGTGGCGGTGGATGGGCGCGTGCCAGACGCAGTGGCGGGAGGGGCGTGGGAGCAGGCGGGGGGAAGGATGGTGCGCGTGACGTGGCGGAAAGCAGAAGGAAGGGAAGCGGGGAAGGGGGGGGAGATGGAAGGGCGGGGAGGGGATCAGGGAGAGGGGGGAGAGGGTAGGGATAGGGAAGGGGTTCAGGCAGGGGATGGGGACACAGGGGATGTTAGCCAGAGGGAGAAGGAGAGCGTTGGAGCAGGGGAAGAGAGAAGGGTGGAAGGGGGAGGCATGAGGAGGCGGTTAGGGGCCTTGAAGAAGCGGAAGTGGAACGTCAGTCTAGTGAAGGCGGTGGGGACGAGCAAGGGAAGACCAATACAGAGGCAGGAGCAGGAGCAGGAGGAGAAGCAGCAGCAGGAGCAGGAGGAGAAGCAGCAGCAGGAGCAGCGGCAGCAGGAGCAGCAGCAGCAGGAGGAGCACCAGCAGCAGCAGCAGGGGGAGGATCATTATCAGCAGCAGCAGCAGGAGCAACAACAGCAGCTGCAACAGTTGGTTGAGGAGGCGCGATCGAGGGAAGGGGTGAAGGCGAAGGCTGTGTCGTGCCTGGCAATGCTGCAGCAGCATGAGACGATGCAGGGCAGACTGGCTCAAGGTGGGTCTGGATAGGCTGACGTGTCTGCTTGACACGCATGCTGCATGTGTGCTGAATGCGTGCTGCATGTGTGCTTGATTGTTCAAACCCCACCTTCCGTTCCCCCCTTTTTTCCTCCTTCCCCCTGTCAACCTTCCCTACATAAAAGCTTGTGAAAGGAGAGAGGGATTCTATGTGGTGCATGCATGCGTGCGGGGCATCAGACATGGGAGCATGATGGGAACATGGCATGCGGGTCAAAAAAATGGACGAGGGATGATGCATGATGTGAATACGGACTGCCAGTACCGAGGATGGATGGCCCCGGCAAGGTCTGTTAGCCCTTTTATCTTTTGTGCTTTTGAGTCGACTCAAAGGCAAGGTCTGTTAGCCCTTTTATCTTTTGTGCTTTTGAGTCGACTCAAAGGCAAGGTCTGTTAGCCCTTTTATCTTTTGTGCTTTTGAGTCGACTCAAAGGCAAGGTCTGTTAGCCCTTTTATCTTTTGTGCTTTTGAGTCGACTCAAAGGCAAGGTCTGTTAGCCCTTTTATCTTTTGTGCTTTTGAGTCGACTCAAAGGCAAGGTCTGTTAGCCCTTTTATCTTTTGTGCTTTTGAGTCGACTCAAAGGCAAGGTCTGTTAGCCCTTTTATCTTTTGTGCTTTTGAGTCGACTCAAAGGCAAGGTCTGTTAGCCCTTTTATCTTTTGTGCTTTTGAGTCGACTCAAAGGCAAGGTCTGTTAGCCCTTTTATCTTTTGTGCTTTTGAGTCGACTCAAAGGCAAGGTCTGTTAGCCCTTTTATCTTTTGTGCTTTTGAGTCGACTCAAAGGCAAGGTCTGTTAGCCCTTTTATCTTTTGTGCTTTTGAGTCGACTCAAAGGCAAGGTCTGTTAGCCCTTTTATCTTTTGTGCTTTTGAGTCGACTCAAAGGCAAGGTCTGTTAGCCCTTTTATCTTTTGTGTGCCTTGCTCTGATCCAATCTTGTCTGGTCGTCTCTATTCTGCATCTGCTGCATGTTTTCATTTCTCCTGTGCCAACCGTTCTACTGCCTCACTCTCGTCTTTCTCTCTCATTTCCCCTGGCCTATTTTCTCCTTTGACAATGAAGCGCACCGGCAATACCAACAGTCGCTGCTCCTGTGCCAGCCTTTCTACTGCCACACACTCATCTTCTCACTCATATTCTTCCTCTGGCCTCACACTCATCTTTTTTCCCCTCCCCAATGCAGCTCACCAGCAATACCATCAGTCGCTGCTCCACCCATCCTCCACTCCCTACTCCTCCTCCTCCTCCTCCTCCTCCTCCTCCTCCTCCTCCTCCTCCTCCTCCTCCTCCTCCTCCTCCTCCTCCTCCTCCTCCTCCGCCTCTGCATCCCCATCGTCCTCTCCCCCCTCACTCGCCTCCCCATCGTCCTCTTCTCCCTCACTCGCCTCCCCATTGCACCCCTTGAGGGCTGTCATGGCTTCTATAAGAGCCGACCTGCGGCGGTTGCAGCAGCAGCTGCAGGCGCAGTGCAGAGTTGATGCGAGAGCCTTACCGCTGAGAATGGAGGAGCGGAGCAAGCTGATGAGAGAGGCGGGATGTGGGAGCAAGGTACTGGGGGAGAGAGGCGTGGGAAGAGGGTTAGGTGGTGGGGGAGGAGGAGTAAGAGAAGGAGGAGGGGAAGGGGATGAAGGAAGGCAAGAGGAGGGAAGTAAGGAGGAACGTAAGGAGGGAAGGCAGGGGGAGGGCAAGGAGCGGGCAAGCGAGAGAAGCTCGTGGTGGTGCAGCGGGCAGGAGACCGGCAGGGCAGCTCGCACCTGCATGGGGCTGAGAGCCCCTTCCCCTCTTGCACGACTCTCCCCACACCTCTTCCCCTCCTCCCCCCCCGCTGTCTCCTTCCTCCTGCAGTATTTTCGCCAGCCTGGCATGATTGCGGACCTGCTCGCCCGCCCCCATAACTGCACCTGGGTTCCGAGGGCTGGGGGAAAGGAGAAGGGGAGGAGAAAAGGGGAGGTGGGTGGAGTAAAGGGTGCTGGGAAGGGGGAGTTTGGGCGAGGAGGGAATGTTAGGGTGGTAGAGATGTTGGTGCATGCGGATAGTCCTGAGGAGTGGAAGGAGTGGAGGGAGTACTGGTGTGGGAGGAAGCCGCTCACCAACCCTGCCGACCCTTCTGCCCCTGCCGGTGCTGCCGGTGCTCTTTCCACTGCCATTGCAAGAAGAAACAGCAACAGCAGTGCAAGCAGCAGCAGCAGCAGCAGCAGCAGCAGCAGCAGCAGCAGCAGCCGCAGCAGCAGCAGGGAGTGTCCAGGCAACCCCTACTTCCACCTGCAAGTCACCTTCGACCACAACGCCCATGAGATCCGCGGCTTGAACACCCACGCCAAAACAGCCCGCGGTAATGTGGTAACCCTGTTACAGGACGATGACCTGCTGCCGTGGGACTGCAGCTGGCTTTGGCGCATCACCCATGAGATGGACGCACGCCCGCTAGTCGCCGCTGTGGGCTATAGGACCGGGAAAATTGATGTGGATGGGAGCAACTGGGGTGCGCCCCTGACCTGGTACAGGTTCGGGGGATGGCTGTGGACCCACCCGTCCTACGACCCCCGAACCAGCCTACGGGGTTTTTTCGCGGGTGTGGTGGATTTTGCTCCGTTTGTGATGCGGCGGGATGTGTTTTTGGCGCTAGGGGGGCTTGATGAGGGGCTGTCCGCGCGGGGGGAGTGCGGGATTATCACCGATTGGCATTTTACTTATCGGATCTGGTTTGCTGGTTACCAGGTTATGAATGTAGCGTGGGATCCTCCGGAGAGTGGGATTGGGAGGGGAGTGGAAGGCGGCACACATGCGGGCGTGAGATTGAGCCTACGGCACCTGCATTTTCTGATCAATGATGGGCAGATGAGAAGGCACCAGGTAGAGGTGCTGAATGCGTGGCAGCAGAGGGAGGTGAAGAGGGTGAATGTAATGTTTCGGACATTAGATGTGTGGGAGTGAGTGTGGTGGAAGAGGGTGGAGTTGGGAGGGAGGGGGGTTACTGTATATCATGGAATGTGGGGTAAGTTAGATGGATTCTTCAATAGTCGATCTGAGTCAACTGTTTCGTGATTGTTGGATCAATAGGTGTGTGATTGGAAGAGTGTAAGGAATTTTCTCGGCATTCCTTACGGGGCCGACTACATCGCGTACAGCAACAGCCGATTGTTCGCCCGTTACTGCTAACGGAACTTCGCCGACTTCGCGCGCACTGTTTTGCCAAACCTCGCACTGCTGGCATGGCCGTATCGGCCTACGCTTCGGGACTAGCCCGAGCCTCGCTCCAGCGTAGCACTAGCAAGCTCGCACGCACCGCGTTACCGTTTTGCATGTTTCGCGTATAAATGTTCGCTCATGCCTTCGCTCACATTTTGTACTCGTTTGACACCCTAGTGCAATTCTCGCTACTTCGATTCATTGCACCCGTAACACTTGGTTATCAGAGCCCCTTTCTTTCGGACCGCGCATCTCCGCACACCAGGAAATCAACTTTTGATTTTTCACTCGAAGGGACTCACGCACCTTAGCCCCTAGGAGCCGCTGTCCTCGCGTTCTCTCGTAAACGCGTGCAGCCACGACTGCGCCTAGACTAAGACGAGCCGACGCCCTTCGTCATGGCTGAAAATATCGACGTCACCACCCTCACGCAGGAGCGTTTGAACGATCTGCTGCGACAGCTGCACGAAAGCTCCGAGGAAATCGCGGCATTAACGGCAGAACGCTCATCGCTGCAAAACGACCTCATGAGGGCACAACAAGCACAATCTCAAGCACCTGGCACTCCGATTCAACCTGCACCCTCAACATCACAACACGGGAGTGTGGGGCAACCCGCGAGCGCGGCCAGTGATGGCGTCGTCCGCCCCGACGGAGACGACGACCACGGCACGACACACCCCAGAGCGACGCATGCGGCCCCAAGTCAGCCTCGCGTCACGATTTCGGCACCAACCCACGATTCGGGACTGCCGTCACCGATGCCGCTGAAGCCGCAGCGCCCGCCATGCTTTGACCCGAGTCAACGGGGTGGTCCTACCGTTCAGGCGTGGTTGTTCACAATGAATGTCTTCTTCGACGCCAACTACGTCTCGGAGGACTCGGCGAAGATTCGATACGCCGTGTCGCTGCTGCGAGGACCCGCCATGGACTGGTGGCGCGTCATCGTCACGAAGCCGACAGACTACGCGACACTACCGACACGGGAAGGACAAACCGGACCCTGGGCGCCGTCGTATTTCGTGGAGGTGCCCCAGTATCGCACGTGGGACGCGTGGTGCGCAGGTTTGCGCGCTCGATTTGAGCCAATTGCGGCTTCGATCGCGGCGCGACAGAAGCTCCGCACTTGGCGCCAACTCGGTTCCGTCCAGGACTACACGAGCGGATTTCTGGCGCTATGCGAACAGGTGGGCTACATGCATGAGAGCGAGCGCATCGACCGCTACATCGGCGGCCTGAAGCAGGACATCGCTCAGGAAATCCAGCTTCGCGGCGTCACCGAATTTCAGGAAATTCTCGCTATGGCGGAGAAGCTCGACTTCTTTCGCCGACCGAGACCGGGGTCCTACGGAAACAACAACTGGGGACATCGGCCTCGTGGGACGAACGAAAGCGCCACGATACGCGCCGTCGCCGCAAATGCCGCTGCCGCACCGTTCAAAGGGCGCTGCTTTGCGTGCAATCGGCCGGGACATCGCAAGAGCGAATGCCCGGAAAACGCTAAGGGAAAGGGGGAAGCTGAGCAGCAGACACAGACCAAGCAGCAGGGAAACGCTGGAAGTCAGTAGCAGACGGGCCCCCTACTGACAGGTCACGCCGCTCGCCCGACCCAACCGACCCTCACCGAGTGATTGTGCCGGTTCACGCAATCGACCACACCCGGCCGAATAAGGAGGGTACCACGGTAGACAGCCCTATACTGCTCAGTGGGAAAATTGGGACGGACTTAGTTAAAATCTTCGTAGACGGGGGAGCCAGCCACAGCCTCATTAACACTGCTACAGCACGGAAACTGCGACTGCCACTGGACAGATGCTTACCTGAGATCGACGCACGACTGGTAGACGGCACGCCGCTGGCAATACGGGAACGCGTAGACCGAGTTCGGATTCGATGCGGGGGTAACTTCACGTTTAGCCAGGAAATGCTCGCAACGACCCTCGACGGAACCGACATTTTACTCGGGCGTGATTGGCTGCGACGACACAATCCGCGAATTGACTGGACGACGGGTGACTGCACCGTGCGAGTGAACGGTAACAACATCGCCTTACCTCGTTGGGGCTCGCCTGGGTCTTCGTCGGTGCGTGTCAACGGGATCACGATGAAACGCGCTGTAGCGGCCGGAGCTGACGTGTACGCGGTTGACATTCGGGAAGCCGAGGCAGCAGACAAGGGAGGGGATTTACAGAAACTGCTGACCGACGTACCGAGTGATCTGGCAGCACTGTTAACACGATACAGTGACATTTTCCCGGATGACTTACCGACGGGACTGCCACCTAAGCGACCGCACGATCACAGGATAGACCTGGAACCGGGGGCACAGCCAACAGTACAGCGACAGTTCCGACTGACCCAACCCGAACTAGACGAACTAAGGAAGCAGCTCGATTACCTGCTCGAGAAAGAATTCATTCGCCCTAGCTCGTCGCCCTTCGCCGCACCAATACTGTTCACACCGAAAAAGGACAGGGGGTTTTCGCATGTGCATCGACTACAGGGCACTGAACAGGGTTACCATCAAATCCCGTTACCCCATCCCACGAGCCGACGAACTGATCGACCAACTGCGCACAGCCCGGGTTTTCTCGAAAATCGACCTCCGAGGAGGCTACCACCAAATCCGCGTCAACCCACCCGACTGCCCTAAAACCGCATTCCGAACACGCTACGGATCCTTCTAATACACCGTCATGCCATTCGGACTGAACGCCGAGTCCGGACAACCCAACGCCACGTGCACAACAATTCGCCGAAGTCCTGCAAGCTGCCCGCGCCAGAGCCGCCGAAGCAATAAAAAAGGCCAACGTCATCGCTAAGCGCAACGCTGATCGCCACCGCCGCCCTGTCACGTACCAATCTGGAGATTACGTGCTGCTCGACACGCAAAATCTGCGACTGCCCGACGTACCGAAATTACGACCGCGCTACTGTGGACCATTCCAAATCAGTCACATGATCACACCCGTCACCGCACACCTACTGTTGCCAACCGACTGGTACATCAGCCCTTCGTTCCACGTCAGCCTACTTCGCCCATACATCCCGACCACAAGTCAACTGCCGCGTCACCGCCCACAATCAATGACTCGCCCTGCATCGGAGCCGATCATCGAGCCCGAAAAAATCCTAAGCCATCGGATCCGCCACCCCACGGGAATCAGGAGGATTGAATTCCTCGTTCGCTGGAAGGACCGCACGCCAACTGAAGACAGCTGGGTGCCCCTGCCCAACATCGAAAACCACTCTGCCCTGCAAGTGTACCTGAGGAGCCGGGGATTCCGCGATATACACGCACTCGCGTAGCGGAGGGGGCTTCTTAAGGGGGGGGGGGTAGTGTAAGGAATTTTCTCGGCATTCCTTACGGGGCCGACTACATCGCGTACAGCAACAGCCGATTGTTCGCCCGTTACTGCTAACGGAACTTCGCCGACTTCGCGCGCACTGTTTTGCCAAACCTCGCACTGCTGGCATGGCCGTATCGGCCTACGCTTCGGGACTAGCCCGAGCCTCGCTCCAGCGTAGCACTAGCAAGCTCGCACGCACCGCGTTACCGTTTTGCATGTTTCGCGTATAAATGTTCGCTCATGCCTTCGCTCACATTTTGTACTCGTTTGACACCCTAGTGCAATTCTCGCTACTTAGATTCATTGCACCCGTAACAAAGAGGCAGTATCTCCTTAGACACAGGTTCTTGGACTTTTTTTTTGGAGACTGGTGTTGATATCCATCCCAACCAAACCGAACTCCGCCGACACGAGAGTGAGTGACTGCAGCTTGCTTGATGCTGCTTTGCAGAACTGGTGTTCGTAGTTTCTACGAGATGGTGTGAACAGCTTCCCGAAGCGCATGTACGAACCTCAGCGAACGATTCAGATGGCTGGAGGGGGCGGTGTGTGCTGATTGGGCAATATAGGATTGTCAGATAGGCGTCTGCGACATCTTAGCTCATTAGCGAGCATGAATGTGACAATGTCGAAAGTGTCCGACGCTATTCATTGGCTAGCAATCTGCGATCCCTCAATACTCTCGCAGAAATGTTGGCGACGGTCATAAGAGCGACTCGATCCATGCGGACGCCGCCAAGTCATCCGCCAGAACCTGCCGCCTCGCACCTCGCGTCGCGCGTTAGTGAGAGGGCAATAAATACCCTTAACTGTATGTCCCATCAGTGTAACTGATACTTAAGAGCTGGTAACATAGCTATTTGCTCCCTGCCGTCGATTGCTTTCTCGCCGCGCCGCTGCATTTGTGTTGAGAGAGTGGCATGACTTTTCTGCCGCCTTCGCCAGAGTCGCAAGGCTCGTCGCCTCCTTCGCGCAAATCCCACGCGCATGCCGGTCCCAAGCTGGACTGGTTTCGAGTGGGACTTTGACAAAGCACTGGTCGGAGCAGGGCTGTAAGCAGCGGCAGCCGCAATAGTAGCGGCAGCAGCCGCAAACGCGGTGTCGGCGACAATCTGTCGCTGGTGCACATCGTGGCTGTGGCGTTCGCGAAAGGCGGCGTGGGCAAGTCCGCCACTGCCGGTGCGCCTCCGCCCCACCACCATGCCTCACGCCATGCCGCTTCCTCCCCCAACACCATATTCCCCCCTCCCTCCTTCTCTCCCTCCCCGCCACACTCCCCTTCCCCACCGCGTCCCCGTACCTACCCCCTTACCCTCCCCCCACAACTTCCCCCTCCCCTCCCCCCACACCTCCCTTCCCTTCCTCTCCCCTTCCCCTCTACCTCCTCATCCCCCTTCGCTCACCTTCACTGCATGTGCGCAAGCTCTCTGCTCACTGGGCCTAGAGACTACCGGCCGCTCGCTGCCCGCCTCGCCCACCCCCCACGCGCGCATGCTGCCAAAACAGGCGCATGGCGGCTGATGTGGCGTCCGTGTGGCGTGGGCCCATGGTGATGGCGGCGGTGGAGAAGCTTGTAAGGGGGACAGAGTGGGGGCGGCTGAACGTGCTGCTTGGCTTTGGCTACGTGGAGCTCAGCTTGAGCCAGCAGGTCCGGCTGTCAGGTGCGTGGCAGATGGGATGGGATGGGGTAAATCCAGCACCATGGGAGGAAGGAAGGGGCGCTGGAGGTGGGTGGTCGCATTTTGCTGGTGGTGGCCGTATTGCGTATGGTTTCTGCTAGTGACTCGTGATGGTGCGTTTCAAAGTAGTCATGTAGGGTAACCACACTTCATCTCAGTGTGTTTTGAGTCGACTCAAAACACACCTAACCACACTTCATCTCATTTCGCAAAGCATGCACGAAGTTGTTGAACATGCATAAGGGCGGTAACCGGCGAACAAAGGTCCGATGTCTTAGGGAGGAAGAGAAAACACCCTTCTCTTCCTTCTCCCATCCTGTTGTTTCTGTCTCACTCTATTGTGGTTCAGACAACACATGCTACTCCATCAACAGCAGTAGTAGCAGCAGGAGCCATAGGCGAGGAGGCGACAGTGGGAGAGCGGTAGCAGGGTGAACAGGTGGAGGGGGAGCAGGGGGTTTCTTTTATGGATTATGACGTGGCTGACCACCACCCACAGTACGCCTCGTTGGGCCACCCCGTGGTGGTGAGCCACGCAGCCGCCCTCTCACCGCCGCCTCCTCGCCTGTGGCTCCTGCTGCTACTACTGCTCCTGTTGAGGAAGTAGCATGTGTCGTCTGGACAACAATAGAGGGAAGGAGAAACAACAGGGTGGGAGAAAGAAGAGAGGGATGTTATGTTTCCTTTTCCTGCCTATCAAAAGCATGTGAGCAGGAATCAGCCCCTCGGCTCCTGCATCACCAAACGCACAACGAGGCGACCCACGCACGGTTGCAGGACCTCGTGGGTGACTTGAGTGATTTACTCTCGTAGCTTAGCTTAGTTCATGTAGACAATTTGCTCATACCTTATTTGTCCCTTGCTTGTCAAGCGTGACCGTGTGGCGGCCCTGACTGACGACTCCAGGCACAGGCCCTCCACCCCCTCCCTTGCCCACACCCGGACCCGCCCATTCACCTCCTTACAGGGGCCGGGGACGGGGGACTGCCTCCTGGCCATTCCTTCCACCCTTTGCCTTCGCCTTAGCCTGACCGATTTACCAGGGCGCCGTTGCATTCAGAAAGTTGGTGGGGGTGGTGGGGAGCATGATTTACTTTACCTGCCCAGCCTGCTCCCTTACGCTATGGATTTCCCCCCTGCTGCTGACCTGCGCATCGAGTTCCTTGCGCAGGTGGGTTCCTGCCGCGGGTGGATTGGTGGGAGAGGTAGACTATTCTGATCATTTGCAGAGTATTGTGACTCATCATGGTTTTCCACCTCTCGCCCGGCACACATCCGCCATGCGATGCACTCATCCGCTCAGCGCATCGCTCTAATCCGCCTGCGCGTCTCCCTGCGGTGAAGAACGCGGGGCGAGCATGCCTCTGGTTCGCCCCGTTGGAGCGGATACCAGCCAGTGCCACCCCCTTCACCCCCATCCTCTAAGCCAGGCGCCCTGCTCCTCTCCCCCCACTCCTACACCCCGCCTTCCTCTCTGCTTCTCTGCTCGCGCCCATTCTGCAGCCTCCCCACTTCGGCCCCCTCCTGATTGTGCTGGAGAGAATCTGCACCGGCCCACTGCCCACCGGACAGGGGACGACGTTTCCTATTCCGTTTCTCCCTTACTACCTTTCTCTCCATTTTCCCCTGCAAACCCTGCTCACCTGCGCCCCTCCCTCGTCCCGTTTGCCTCTTGCGCTTCCTCATATCACCCCAGGGGGTGGTGTCCTGCGTGTGCTACATGTGAAGTGAGGTCCCTCCACTGCTTACATCCGCTCCGACACTCTTCAATCGCTCGATCCGTCCCATGTTCCATGTTCTTTTGAGTCTTAATGGTGTGCGTTACTTTTGCCTTGCTTTGCTACAATCTTGCTCCTGCGCAAGAACCAATCAAGCGAACTTTTGTTGCCATAAAGTGTAGCAGACGTTGGGGTGTAAATGCCTCTCTCTCCCTGCGTCCCTCTCTCCAATACCACCTGTGCGATCTCTCCCGCCTGTCAATCTCACCCCCCCATGCATTGCTTCTAACCCGCGTCCTGCCCCTTCCCATGCCTTGCCCCTCACATACCCTGCCCACCCACTCCCCAGGACCGTGCAGGGCACTACAAGCGCACAAGTAGATTCATCGTGCTTGAGGTGAGGCATAGTGGTGGGGGTGAGGCATAGTGGTGGGGGTGAGGCATAGTGGTGGGGGTGAGGCATAGTGGTGGGGGTGAGGCATAGTGGTGCGGGTGTGGCATAGTGGTGGGGTTGAGGCATAGTGGTGGGGGTGTGGCATAGTGGTGGGGTTGAGACATAGTGATGGGGGTGAGGCATGGTGGTGGGGGTGAGGCATAGTGGTGCGGGTGTGGCATAGTGGTGGGGTTGAGGCATAGTGGTGGGGGTGAGGCATACTGGTGGGGGTGAGGCATAGTGGTGGGGGTGTGGCATAGTGGTGCGGGTGTGGCATAGTGGTGGGGTTGAGGCATAGTGATGGGGGTGAGGCGCGTGGCTTCGAATGGTGTGGCTGTCGGTGTTTGTCCGGGTGGAGGCTCGGATTCCTCATGCACTGCTTTATCATGCTCTGCCTGCCTTCAATGCCCTACGGCTTATCGTAAAATTCTTACTTAACTGTCATACCCAAGCGCCTGCTCGTTCATTCCCACCCTGTCTTCCTCCTTCTAGGTACCTGTCTGTCACACCCCCGCCATAATTTTCTGCACGCCTCTGCACATGATCCAATCAATACTCTCCACTCTTCTCTCCTCACATCCACCTGCCATCCTTTCCACGAGTGATGATGGGAAAGGCAGCATGTGCCCTTGCAATCCTCGTATCTGCGTGAAGTGAGGGTGTTTTTGCGTCTCGTCTCAAAAACACCCTCACTTCACGTGGAAAGGCAGCATGTGCCATTGCAATCCTCGTATCTGTCCGTCTCCTCTTAACTTCCTTGTGCCAGGCAGGTGGGGACGGGCAATGTTCTGCTGTCTAGCCCGTCTCCTTCCCATCTTCTCTCCATTCGACAGCAGCCATGAGGGGACGAAATTTAGTGAAAGAGTCTATCGAGGCATGCCTGTCCTTGTCCTTGTAAGCAATGTCTCTTTTCTCCCCAACTTCTCTGTCTTTTCTGCCTTCTCATGCCCTTTCTTGCAGCAGCTTGGAGTGGATTGCACAGAAGGCATGAGGCGACAGGAGTCAGTGGGGGAGTATATCCCCGTGGGGAAGAAGGAAGGCGACACTTGTGGTCACTACCTGCTGCCATGGCGCTTCCCTGGGTTGCTGAAGTGCTGCAGGGTGGCAGGCTGAAGTGGTGAATTGAGAGGGCAGAGGGGGAGGAGCAAGTAGAGAAGGAAGAGGAACCAGAGAAAGAAGAGGAGGAAGAGGAAGCAGAGAAAGAAGAGGGGGACGAGAAGCAGGGAAAGAAGAAAAAGGAGGACGTAAGGAAGAGGAGGACAAGGTGTGGAAGCAGGAGGACGATGAATTGGATCAGGGGGGAGGGCAAGATCATGATGAATATCACAGGCGCAGGGGAGAGAATGCACGACCGACAAGAGAGCAGAGCGGAAACATTCACAGTAGAAATCCACAGAGGAGAGTCTGAGGAGCAGGCAAATAATGATGAGAAGGAAAATGCAGTCGAGGGAGGCAGGGATGGTTGGATGAGCGCTGGAGCTGCACCCACCACTGGTTCACTCTGGCGTTTAGACTATTCATTGTAGAGGCTGTGAGGCGGTGCAGTGCGGAGCAATCCGGGTTTAGGGTACACATCGATGAAGGCTGATGGCGGGTGGGCAGTGAGCACACTACCAAATCGAACTTCGTGTTTATTACTTCAATGTTTGATCACCGCTCAACCCAAGTGGTTGCAGCGATTTATGCAACCGATCGACCCACGTGTCTCAAAGTATGGTTACAGCGGGAGATTGTCCAGGAGTTACGTGTGTGGAAAATCCCAGAGTTGTTGCAATCTGACAAGCTGTTTTCTTGTTGGAGTCCACTGTGACATCAGTAAGAATAGATGGTCCTTTTATCACTACACACCAATCAACGTGATGGCAAACCGTAAGAGTACATTCCGCTGTGGACCATGTCCCAATCGATGTGTCCCAATCGATTGGGACGCGTACGTACAGCATATGCTGCTAGGTGTCAGAATGCCGGGCCGCGCGTTGTTGTCGCCAAACGTATTGATCATTGGGTTGTGGAGATGAGAACGTGAAAATGGATGAACAATGAAATGAGTGAGTACAAGTACTAACCCTAATTGGGTTGTACCCCCTATGGGATACCCCACTATAGCCTACACAACAGCATAAGCTATAATGTTCTGACACACCCCCATAGGCAAAGTGGGGGAGAACAAGGGGTCACAAGACCAGTCAAGCAAAGCAAAGCAAAGCTCAGGGTGGATCACAAAGTCACCACACAGTCCGAGCACAACAACAAGGCCACAAGGCCAGTTCACATGCCAGAGGAGACACATGTATATATAAGACTAAACAAGCAAGAGCAGGTATATATATATGCAAGAGTACAAGCAAGGTCAAGAGGAGAGCAAGTGAGACAAGACAGGAACAAGACCCAGCTGAGTGCAGAAGCGCTGATGGTCACAAGGCGCGAGTGCCTTGGTGAACACGTCAGCAGTGTTGGCCTCAGAGGCCACGTACGCAAGCCGCAACTGTCCACGCTGCTGTAGCTTACGAGCAAGGAAGTAGCGGAGAGCAATGTGCTTCGTTCTGTGCTCCAAGCGCTGCTCTCGACACAAGGCCAGCATGGCCTTGTTGTCTACGTACAGCACTGGAGGAGAACGAGGCGGCTCTCCAAGGTCAGTCAGCAGGTAGGTGAGCCAGAAGAAGCTCCTGTGCAGCCATGGCCCCGGCGTAGATCTCAGCCTCACAACAGGAGCTAAGGACAGAAGACGAGCGAGTAGCCCGCCACGAGACAGAGCCGGAACCAAGATTGAAGGTGTAACCCTGTGACGACCGCTGCGTAGCCTGGTCGTCAGCCCAAGAAGCGTCCGCGTGCCCCGTAAGGACCACTTGACTCCGCCCTCCAAGCACTAGCCCCATGCCTGACGTACTGCACAGGTAGCGCAACACCCTCTTCGCTGCAGCCATGTGCTCTGGTCGGTGTCTCCCAGGAGCAACATAGCGTGCCAAGATGCTAAGAGGGTATGCAAGGTCAGGTCGTGTGCAGGTCATCAGATACATGAGGCAGCCAACAAGCTCTGGGTACGGGCCACTCAACTCTACGGACTCATCCGAAGGCAGAGCTGAGAGCGAGTGGCGAGTAGACAGAGGAGTGGCCTGAGGCGAGGAGTACGTGAAGCCGAAGCGCTGAAGGACCTGCTGCACCATGTGTGACTGAGTCAAGGTAATGGTGCGGCGTGCTCTGTCCTGGGTGATCTGCAAGCCAAGGTAGCTGCGCAGTTCACCCAGGTCTGTGCACGTGTGTCTCTTCAGCAGCTCGGACTTCACGTAGGCGAGTCCAGCAGTGTCCGCTGTGGCAAAGACCAAGTCGTCGACGTACACGAGGATGTAGAACGGCGGCAGAGAAGTGTCGGTGCGCAGAAACAACGACGGGTCAGCAGTAGAGGGAGCAAACCCAAGAGCCGCAAGCGTGGTCCTCAGTGTGTCGTGCCACTCACGCGGTGCCTGGCGGAGACCGTAGACTGGCCGTCGAAGGCTCCACTGGGTGCCAGGAGGGAAAGTCCCAGTGAAGCCAGGTGGACGGCGCAGCTAGATCTCCTTGTGCAGGCTACCCTGCAAGAACGCAGTGCTGAAGTCAAGAGAGTGAAGCTCGTAGTTGCGCTGAGCTGCTATGTGCAGCAGCACCCAAAGAGTGGTCATCTTCGGGGTGGGAGAGAAGGTCTGAACGTAGTCAACTCCCTGCCGCTGACTGAAGCCACGAGCGACGTACTGCGCCTTGAAGACTGGTGGAGAGCCCGGCGGCCGCTTCACCCTGAAGATCCACATGCCACTGACGATGTTCGCCCCAGGAGGGGGAACCGCGTCAACGTAGGTGCCTGTGGACTTCCAGGAAGCCATCTCTGCATCCATAGCCGCCTGCCATTGAGAGGAGTAGGGACCCTCTACGGCCTCCGCGTAAGAGCGCGGAGTCGGGATGTCTAGTGCATCCGGGTCTCCCTCAGGGGCAAGCAGTACAGACGTGAGATGAGGTGAAGCAGCGGCCAGACATTGGAACTCCTCCTGCCTCTCCTCAAGGACGTCCGTGCCAAGAGCACACTCACCCCCGACGGACGCAGGACAGATAGACGCAGACTCAGTAACAAGACTGGCAGCGTAGTCTAGACGACAACGAGCAGCAAAGTCGACGAGCTCAGCAACAAGCGCAGACGCAGCAGTGGACTCAAAAGAGGGGTCAGTGACGACAGTAGCAAGGAGACGCGTGACAGTAGGACTGGCAGCACGAAGAGAGTCCGACTCCAGGTCGGCAAGCGCAGGAAGAGAGGACGCAGGAGGAGAAGGCAAAGGGACACGCAGAGGAGCAGTGGACGGACGTAGTGACATCCGGTGCGTGCCAGGGACAGGAGGAGGACGCTGACGCGAACCGCGACCACTAGCGCGAGCAGCACGAACAGGCGACGCGGGACGAGACGCAGGCTCACGACGCTCAGCAAGACCTCCAGTAAGACAAGTGTAAGAGGAGGGAGAAGGCAGTGGGGAGGCGGGCTCTAACGGTGACGGTGACTGGACAGGCGGGGGACACTCGACAAGAGGAGAAAGACCAAGAACCTGCTGCAGGAGCGGAACGAAGTACGGGCGAGGCCGTGCGGCGACTCCAGACACAGCAGGGACAGTACCAGCACCCTCAGCGGCAGCACCAGCTCCACCAGCACCCCCAGCGGCAGGACCTCCAGCAGCACCAGCAGCAGGACCACCGCCAGGACAGACAGCAGAAGTCTCAGCACCAGCACCCTCAGCAGCGCCAGCTCCAGTAGGACCCGCAGGCCCAGCAGCTCCGGGACCGGCGACACCAAAACCCTCAGCGGCAGACGAAGCTCCAGCTCCAGCAGCACGCCTCCAGCGGCAAGCAAACCACTCGCGCAGCTCCTGTGGAGAGAGGGGCTCCCGCCGAGACGGAACACCCGAAAAACCGCCAGGCCTAGCACCGCCAGACGCCTCAAGGGGATGTCCAGCGGCCGCAGGCTCTGCACCTCCAGGCCC